TCGGATACGTTCGCCTGGGCGATCCGTGCCGTGAAAGGGGTAGTATGGGCCTCTTCAAGGACTCTGTCGATCTCGGGTGCTCTACTAGATACGCGATGTATCTGTGATCGCATATCCTTCATGTCAGAGACAGTTCGGTCTAGTGCTGCCCGCATCCTGGCCAGCTCGTCCTCTTGAGCTTTACTTTTCGCTGTACGCTCCTCGTCGAGCTGTGCTTGCTCGGCCCAGAAAATATTCTCCTCCTCCTCGTCTGCAAAATCTCGATCGCGTTCGAAGCGGGTATGGTTTCGTCGGATATGGGTTTGGCCTTCGTCTCGGGGCTCACGTTGATCGCCTGAGTCATGCCCGCCACTCGGATGGTCGTCCAGATTTATCACTAGAGGCGCTCTGCCGGGTGGAGGTGCGCTCGTCGTCATATTTGGTTCGGCGGTGTTAAAGTCATGACGGACTGACAGCGCTTCGCGGGTCTGTGGTGTTCCGGTCGGGGTAGAAAAGTTCAGGGCTGTCGGGTTAAAGCGTCCTATGGATCTCCGTATTACGCCTGTTCCTCTGCATCGGGTTCTGCTCGCCCTGGCCAAGGTCCGTTGCGTATCATCGATCGCCGCGTTTCGCGCATCTTATTCTGCTGACTTCTTGAGCAATACCTCCATCATCTTCTTCATCTGCTTGAGGAATTCAGGAGTCGCCTCCGTTGTCCCAGCAGCTCGATTTGCGCTTGAGTCATCGGCATCTTTGTTCATAGCTCCGGAATCATCGGCGTCGTTGTTCTGAGCTCCGGATTTCTCGGTGTCTTTATCGATGCCACTGTTTTGAGCCTCCACGTTCTTATCTCCGGGTTGGTCTTCTCTGGGGATCTCAGATACGTCGTCGGCGGTCATCTTTGCTGGATCTGATGTTGTGTGATTCCTTCTGTGTAAGAGAGTCTTAACGTCCTCTTAGACGGTGCCAAATTGTGGAGGTCGAAACCAACGCAATTGAATTTGTCAAAGGTTTTTAAGAGAAACAAGATCTCTGGGAAAAAATC